ATCGGTGTCGTGTGTCGAGCAGTGTGGGGCAGTTCGTTGCTGCTGGAGCCGCAAAGAATGCAGACCAACGAAGACCCCGTCAACTTCGTCCGCCGCGTCTTCTCACTCGTCTTCGAGGGCGAATCGCTCTCCAAAGCTGTGCGTGGCGTCCGAGACTTCTTCTCGGTCGATTTCGTTCTTGACGCTGATGGGCGCAGCCTCAACCGATCTGACTTCGAAGCTACGCTCCTGGCCCAGCGATCACGGGTCGTAGCTCCGCCTCGCATCGCATTCTCGCGGCTGTGCGCCTCCGCGCCACACGACGGCCGCATAACTGTGACGTCGGTCCACACTTCACACCTCCGCCTCCGGTCTGGCTCTGTTAGCCAGCGCGTGATTGCCGTCCTCGAGATTGACGTGGCGAGCGGACTGCTCGTCCGCTGCGATGAGTTGACGCGGATGGAGCCCCTTCTTCCGCCCGGCCGCCTCACCGTCTCCGAGCAGCCGCCTGGCCGCCTCACCGTCTCCGAGCAGCCGCCTGGCCGCCTCACCGTCTCCGAGCTGCGGCGCCTCCGGTCCGACTCTGGTGCCAATGACGTGCCCATCTCGCCCGAGATGGCGTGCTGGCCGCGTGAGGCGGCCATCGCCTACTTTAGCTCCGGCGGGGTGGTCCGCCCCGTACAACAGACGCTTGCGCCGCCGCCGCCGCCGCCGCCGCCGCCGCCGCCGCCGCCGCCGCCGCCGCCGCCGCCGCCGCCGCACGCCACGGCGCACGTGCACGCGCGGTCGCAGCAGAACCCGACGTACCCGCCGCGCTTCCCGGTCGAGGACGCAAAGGTGAGCTGGAAGGTGCCCTGGCCAGAGTACTCGCCGGTGCCCTTCGTGGCCCCCTCGGTGCTCGCGGCCGAGCGGAGCGACACCAACCCGAACGGCTGGGCCGACAGCCCGCGGCCGAACCTCGCGGAGCTCAAGCACCGCCTCTCGTGCGAGGGCCCCCTCTTCTTCGACGCGGACCAGCGGCCAGTCAACCCGCGCGGCCGCACCGGCGTGTGCGGGCGGGGCATGCTCGGCAAGTGGGGGCCCAACCGGGCCGCCGACCCGATCGTGACGCGCTGGAAGCCCGGCGACAAGCGGAAGCTGCAGATTGTCGCCATCCAGCGCGGCGACACGGGCGTCTGGGCGCTGCCGGGCGGGATGGTGGACGCGGGCGAGGTTGTGTCGGTGACGGTGCGGCGCGAGTTCGCCGAGGAGGTGGGCAACATGGCCTCCGACGCCGAGCGCGCCGCCTTCAACGCGGCCGTCGACGAGCTGTTTGCGCACGGCGAGGTGGTGTACCGCGGCTACGTCGACGACCCGCGCAACACGGACAACGCGTGGATGGAGACGACGGCGTTCCACTTCCACTGCACGGCCGACCTCGCCGTCCAGCTGCCGCTCCGCGCGGGCGACGACGCGCACAACGTGACCTGGCTCGACGTGGACGACGCCGAGCCGCGCTACGCCGCGCTGTACGCCTCGCACAAGGACTGGGTGGACCGGGTGGCGTGCGAGCTGCGCTTGAGAAAGGGCCACTCGCCAAAGGCCGTCGCCGCCCCTGCGGAGGCGACTCCCCCGGCGCCCCAGGGCCGCCGCAAGCCGCAGCGCAGCATGCTGGGCCTGGGCCGGCTTCGGATCGGCTCGCCCAAGGCGGCTCGGCCCGCGACGACCGGGTACGGCGCGTCGCCGCCGCCCTCGCCGCCGCCCTCGGAGCCCGCTTCGCCTACCGCCTCGCCGCCGCCGTCGCTGCCGCCGTCGCCGCCGCCGCCGCCGAGGAGAAGCTCGTGCGTCTCCGCCACTGCCGACTTCTTGGTGTGAGCTTCTGTCGAGAGCCGCCACCGCCCCCGCTTATTGAGCTCTGCCCCCGCGGCAACACGTCCGTATTATGTAGGTAGGTAGCTCACACACCTCTGACCCCCTCCGCTGTATATCTCTCTTTTCTCCCACTCGAGGGAGCAAGCGCCGGCCCGCAATGAGATCCCCTTTTGTTGGCATCCATGCATGTCCCCCCGATGACATTGATCCCATGGGGTGCCACCACTTCTATGGGGGTTTTACCTTTGTAATCGACCGTTTTCATTGCAAAAAACCGAAGAAAGAAACCCCCGT